CCATACGGAACTGTGAGTTTAACATCTCCTGAATATATGATTGATCCTAAACCTGGTATCAGCCCATTTACCATCGCAACAAATACTACATTTCCTGACTTGTTATCAAATGTGTGGTGAAGAAAGACAATTCAACATAAGTTCTTTTCCCAGTACTAGTTAGTTATATTTTAGTTTACTTTGAGGCAGTAAGCAGAGCTGCCTTCTGAATTCTCACCATTTTGAAAATCCCATCAAACGGGGATTAACAGCAGCGATCTAACCTTACATTTTTACAGCAGGCCGCAAGGTTAAATTTTTAGTTCCTGTAAATGTCCCTATAAATATCAATCTTTTGTCTACGTACCTGTCGTTTTGACGTTTGGCCAATGGCGTGAAATGAAAAATTCTGGATCATCCATGTGTTAAGTATCACCCTTGATTTTTATTTCTGTCGACATTGAGATGTATAACAGAAGGCTGATCCAATGTCACCCAAAGTCGAAAGTACAACGTGATAATTGATCATTCAGCCTTGTCTCCAGAGCCCTATTTTATGGGGCACCTTTACTCTTTACCTGCAATCAACAATATTGCTTCTGACTGAATTTCACTATATTGTCCATACTTTCTCCAATCAATCTGGCTCCTTTAACATCAGTAGCCTGCTGTGTTACTGCTAACAGTGTAGGCTATTTAGTCCATTCAGACCAACCCTAGCAGGTGAAACTGTGATCTCTTTGCTGAATGTATTGCAGCATAGAACCAGTGCCTTAGAATATTAGAAATAAGAATAAAGACCTGTCTTGCCATTCAATATCATCATAGAATCACTACAGTGTGGAAGCAGGCCATTCAGCCCATCGAGTCCACACCTACCCTTTGAAGAGCAAGCCACCCAGACCCACCACCCTACCCTATTCCAGTAACACCTTATTTCCTATGGCTAATCCACCTAGTTTGCACATCCCTGGACACTATGGGGCAATTTAGCATGGCCAATCCACCCTAACCTGCACATCTTTGGACTGTGGGAGGAAACCAGAGCACCCGGAGGAAACCCACACAGACACGGGGAGAATGTGCAAACTCCACACAGACAGTCGCCCAGGGATGGGTCGAACCCAGGTCCCTGGTGCAGTGAGGCAGCGGCGCTTATCTCTGAGGCACTGTGCCACCCATATGTTTGATTTTATGCCTGAATCCAGTTAGATTTATCTTCCCTAAAAGGACATTAATCAACCAGATGGCGTTTTCCTGAAGGAAAAGCTGCATACTCTGGGAATTTTTTCACTGGAGCATAGGAGGTTGAGAGCTGATCTTATAGAGGTTATAAACTCATGAGGGATGTAGATAGGGTTAATGGTAGTTGTATTTTCTCTAGAGTGGGGGATTTCAAGACTAAGGGGCATGTTTTTAAGGTGAGTGGAGAGAGATTTAAAAAATGACATGAGAGGCAAATTTTTTACACAGAGAGTGGTTCGTGTGTGGAATGAACTTCCTGAGGAAGTGGTGGATGTGGGTACAATTATAATGTTTAAGAGACACTTGGATAAGTACATGAGTAGGAAAGGTTTGGAGGGATATGGTCCAGGAGCAGGTGGGACTGGTTTAGTTTGGGATTATGTTCGGTGTGGAATGGTTGGACCAAAGGGTCTGTTTCTGTGCTATATAACTCTATGACATAGTTTTATGGTCATCGTTAGACTCTTAATTCCAGATTTTTACTGAATTCAAATTCTACCATCTGCCATTGCAGGCATTGAACTCAGGTTTCCTGGATGTTACTTGGGTCTCTGGATTAATAGCCCAGCAAAATGCGACTTGGCCATCACCTCCCCCCCATTAATTATCTTAAGTTTCTCATTCTCTTTAGCTTTCCGATAATGAGAGAGGGAAGAAAGGAAAGCAAGCTTGATCTGACGGTGAATTACAGCAAGGTTAAAATAAAATAAATCAGTAATGCTTGCTGCCAATTCTATCCGAGTTAATCTGAGTGAGTTTTGTCCGTTAAAGAAATCTCAAATAGTGCTTCTCGACATTTGTGAATAAACCCGATCTGCTCCCCTGAAAAAATAATCAAACATCTGCAGAGCAGGTTACAGGATATTTGTGACTTTCTCATTGCTACTGGAGTCTAATTTCTCCAATTGTGCCTGCACTGATACCAGCTACTTAGAGGCCATTTCCAAATTACAGTAGCAGTTCCCTCTGGTAGCAGCAATTTATCATTACCATGGCTACTGGCATGTTGATAATGGTGTTTCTGTGACTTGGAGAAGACATTAGTGTCTAAGTGCTGAGACTCTGATACACTATAGCAGGGTCAGAGGCTACAGCATTAGTGACTGAGTAAAGTTGTGACGTCAACTATGTTTCCCTGTAGTTTTTCTTTCTTTATTCATTCACGCGATGAGGACATCGCTGGCCAGGGCAGCATTTATTACCCATCCATAATTGCCCAGAGGACAGTTAAGAGTCAACCACATTGCTGTGGGTCTGGAGTCACATGTAGGTCAGAATGGCAGTTTCCTTCGCTAAAGCACGTTAGTGAACCAGATGGGTTTTTCCGACAATCAACAATGGATTCGTGGTCATCAGTAGATTCCTAATTCCAGATGTTTATTGAATTCAAATTCCACCATCTGCCATGGCAGGATTTGAACCCAGATCTCCAGAACATTATCTGGGTCTCTGGATTAACAACCCAGCGATAATACCACTAGGCCATCGCCTCCCCCAACTAAGTGAAATATGCATGGTGGCTCAGTGGTCAGCAGTGCTACCTCACAGCACCAGGGACCTGGGTTTGATTCCAGCCTCAGACTGCTGTTTGTGTGGAGTTTGCACATTCTCCCTGTGTCTGTGTGGGTTTGCTCTGGTTTCCTCCCACAGCCCAAAGATGTGCAGGCTAGGGCAGATTGGCCATGCTAAATGGCCCATACTGTCCAGGGATGTGTAGGCTAGGTGGATTAGTCATGGGAAATGCTGGGTTACAGGGGTGGGGTGGGTCTGAATGGAAGCTCTTTAGTATGGACTTGATGAACCAAATGGCCTGCTTCCGCACTGTAGGGATTCTATGAAATATATTTTGATGAAGGTTCATAATATCTTATCACTGTTTAGGAACTAGGGTGGAGAAATTATGTACAGTATTAATTTTTGTTTGTATTACTATTGTGACAAAATGTACCTTGAAGAGGGATTTGTTCTGTCCTTGTTCTCTTGAAGAGGGGTATTCTAAATCTGGAGCTGACGTGTCTGCTCCATGGAAAGCTGGGTAAATAGCTTTGGGTTTTTTTTTAGGTAGACAAAAGAAACATGAGTGATGGAGTCAGGCTCACATAGACCCAAGGTTTTAGGTTTGCTTTCCATTGTTGAAGTTAGGGTTTTTGGAGTTGAAGCTGCTGGATACAGCTGTCTGCTGCTGCAAAAAGCTTGAGTTCTCTCTCTGCTGCTAGATTCATTCCATTGGTGTTCCTTCTGCAGGACTGGAGGTGATAGCAAGTGAAGAAAATCTGTTTTTGCTGAATTTGCCTTGGGAAAGAGTTATGGGATGCTGCTATGTTGGAACAATTGAGTCGCAGTTAAAATATATATTATTTTGTTAAATATTTCAATAGCATTAAAGTCATGCTAATTCTTTTTTTTTTTCGTTTCTGTTTTAACTGTGAAGAATAAAGTACGTTTTGATTGAAGCCTAGTAGTTTGGCCAATTAGCTCACATCTGGAATACAGTACAGTTGTAGAGTCATAGAGGCAGAAACAGACCCTTCAGTCCAACTCGTCCACACCAACCAAATATCCTAAATTAATCTAGCCCCATTTCCCAGCATTTTGCTCATTATCCCTCTAAACCCTTCCTATTCACGTACCCATCCATTTGCCTTTTAAATGTTGTAATTGTACCAGCCTCCACCACTTCCTTTGGCAACTCATTCCACACACGCACCACCCTCTGCGTGAAAACGTTGCCCTTTAGGTCCCTTTTAAATCTTTCCCCTCTCACCTTAAATCCACGTCCCTCTAGTTTTGGACACCCCCACCTTACACATACACTTGCCTTTAACTAAAATAAAAGTTAGGGTCTAAGCTATCTGCTTACTGCGTTTGGAGGGGGTTTGGTCTGGTCCATAACATTGTGTTGGACTGTGTAAAGAAGGGGAAAGGCCAGGTTTTATTTTACTTTTTGAGTTGGTACATCTCAGTGCTGGGGTCGTGTTCAGCTTGTTTTTACGTACATTTTTAGCGAGAGTTTACAACCTATCAGTAGAATTGGGTGAGGGGCTTAATAATATTTAGAAATATCAAGAAAATCAGGCCATTGCCACTGCCGCATATCAAACAATGATGAGGCAGAAGACAGGAAGGAGATAGAGAGCTTGGTAGTGCAGTGTAAAGATAACAAATTCTCCCCACAATGTCAGCAAAATTAAACAGCTGATCATCGACTTCAAGAAACAAGCAGGAGGACACGTCCCTATCTACATCAATGGCGCGAGGTTCAGAGGCTTGAGAGCATCAATTTCCTAGGAGTGACGATAAGCAACTATCTGTTCTGGACCACCCACATTGATGTGATGGTCAAGAAGGCACGACAACGCCTCTTCTTCCTCAAGAGGCTAAGGAAATTCAGCACGGCCACAAGGATTCTCGCTAATTTTTAGAGATGGACCATACAAAGCATTTTATCTGGGTGCATCATGCTTAAAACAGCAAAGGCTCTGCCCAGAACCATAAAAAACTACAGAAATGACCTAGCAAGCCACTCAGCTCAAGAACAGCCAGGCACTTGCAATAAATGCTAAGCACCCATGTCCTATGAGCGAATACCAAGAGAAGTCTGCAAAAAAGATACAAAGCAATAATCTCACAGCCAGAGCCAGAGGTACAAATGCTAAAACACGGGTAGACACACCCAGAAGCTGAGGTATGAATGGAAATGCTAAGCATATATATGGTCACTTTAACGTTTTAATGTTCTGTTGTTTGCATTTGAACTTTGACCTTTTCTCCCACAGATTACGTCCTCACCAGTGAAATTGCAACTCAAGATGGCTGCCTGTCAGCGCTAACTCAGTGCTCCTTGGATCCCGAGTGCATCCGGAAATTCCGCACCCTGCTGCGGTGCACAGCCCATCACGGGGTCGAGCCCTTCCGGCTGGCTGCCAGGAACGAATGTTTGACTGCTGCCCTCGGTCTCCAGGCCAATCAGCTCTACGCTTGCAAGTGCCAAAGAGGAATGAAGAAAGAGAAGAACTGCCTCCGGATTTACTGGACCATGCACCAAAGCCATGTCACTGGTACGTTGCAGCAGGGATAGATAAGGGAAATGAATCACCTATAGAAGATGGAAGTGGGAGGGAGCACTAGTGTGGGACAGGGAGGTGGAGATAAAAAGGAAGAGTTAGAGAGGGAAAGATCTACCTACCCCTCACCCTGTTGCACAGCAGACTGGAGAAAAATTGACACAGAGACGCATTTCATTTGTAGTGAGCCATATGGGAGTGGATTGTCCCCTTTTATATTATATGTGCATAAGAGTTGAGACTCAGATACTCCCATTTATTGTAAACTGTAAATGTAATGACATTGATTCTTGGAATTCACACAGTACAAGAAACTGACAGAGACCACTGAAAGCAAACAAGAATGACCCGACCTTTATCAATGTTAAAACCGAGCACGATTGGTTCAGAAAGCTCTTGGACTTGGCTCTAATCCAGGGCAGAGGGACGGGAGGAGCAGGTTTACAATTTAAAGGCCTGGCTGTGATTCCAGGCTGAATGGGCAGTGAGTCTCTGCACTCCTGATCAACATTAGTCATGGGGGCCAGCAAACAGAACTGGCAGCATCAATGTCCATGATACAGAGCAGAAATCCCACAAAAGGCAATTGAAATGGCAGAGTGGTGCATTAATTCCCTGGATTTCAGAGATTGCGGTGGAAGCAGATTATTGGGAGCAGGAAGATGCATCCTTGTTTGAATGAAGAGTGAAATTCCCTGTTTTTCCTTTCCTGTAGGTTACGATGATTTGGAAACATCACCCTATGAGTACTCGATGCCTGGTTCGTCCTTGGTCTTGGACTATGGTAGACTTGCCTCTTTGGTGTCAGGTACTGCACTCTGTCAAATGTGATTGAATGCTACGTTCTAGGAATGCAGCATTAGGTGTACGACACCAAGTTAGACCACCAAGAATCTTACTGGGGGGAGACTGAACCCACTTGCCCAATGAGTGAGCAAATTTCCTGCTAATCGGTTTCAGATGATTTCTCAATAAATGTTGTGATATGACAATCATTAAATGTTCAGGTGACAGTGCCAACAGGTATCAGTGACCTGCAGAATATTGCAGTTCGACCAACAAGAGCTGGGATTTTAACAAAATGCCACACGCTGTTCTTGACTTGGAACTGCGTCACTATCCTTTCAATGTTACTGGATAAAGCCCCCTTCTGAGAAGCGCTGTGGATCGGGCCTAGCTCCCCAACACCACCACCTTCACTGGGCCAGTGATTGATGGGTAATGATTACTGGCTGTAGCAATGATGCCAATCTCCCAAGCTCAAATTTAAAAAAAAAACCTACAAGTCCTATGCAGAACAAGATCCAATTAAAATTGAGAAGATACCGTAATTAATTTTACCAGGTTTATCGTCACCTACATTATTAATTTATTGTATAATTAATCCTTGATTACATTCCAGCCCTTGGCTCATTCACTAGGGATTCGGTCGTTGATATGTATAATTTGTAACCATTTCATTAGATTGCCACTGCCATGCATCCATTATTCAACACTCATTCTATCTAAACTGCTTGATGAGATTTGCTGATTAAGTTACTACATCAGGCCATTAAAACCAATTGTGTAAATGGGTTCAAGAGACAAGTATGAAGGCTTTCGAAGAGTAAATGTTTGAAGGATATGGAGTTATAATGTGTTAATAAGGAGTGAAATTTCTAAGCATGATGGCTAGTTCACTCAGTTTCTGATTGGAACTATTACATTGAAGTCATAGAAATTTGATCTATCTCTCCCAATGAAATTTCCTTTGGCTAATGCTAACTGCATTTCTCCCTCATTTATTTAGCCAGCTTTCCCATATAGGCACACTGTTCACCTCCATGAAGTTGCAAACTTTACTTTCTAATCACTGACTCGGTAAATATGTTTTGCCCGAATTCTTTATTGGATTTCCTGGTGACCACCTTAAAATTATGGTCTGTAATTTTGAACTCTACAACGATGGGTCTAGAAGTTCGCGTCTACTCTATTGAACAGAAACAAAAATTGTTGAAAAATCTCGGCCAGTCTGGCAGCATTTGTGGAGATAAACAGAGTTAATGCTTCGGGTCCAGTGACCCATCTTCAGAGCACTTCAAAACGTCAGGTTCTGATGAAGGGTCACTGGACCCAAAATGTTAACCCTGCTATCTCTTCACAGATGCTAAGGTCGTGTTGCAGCTGTATAAAACATTGGTGAGGCCACTTTTGGAATACCGCATTCATTTCTGGTCTCCCTGCTATAGGATGGATGTTGTGAAACTTGAAAGGGTTCAGAAAAGATTTACAAGGATGTTGCCAGGGTTGGAGGGTTTGAGCTATAGGGAGAGGCTGGGGCTATTTTCCCTGGAGCATCAGGGGCTGAAGGGAAACTTTATAGAGGTTTATAAAATCATGAGGGGCATGGATAGGGTGAATAGCCGAGGTCTTTTCCTTAGAGTGGATGAGTCAAAAACTAGCAGGGTTAGGTTTAAGGTGAGAGGGGAAAGATTTAAAAAGGGGCAACATTTTCACGCAGATGGTGGTGCGTGTATGGAATAAGCTGCCAGAGGAAGTGGTGGAGGCTGGTACAATTACAACATCTAAAAGGCATCTGGATAGGTGCATGAATAGAAAGGTTTCAGAGGGATAGGAGCCAAGTGCTGGCAAATCGGACTAGATTTATATAGGATATCTGGTCGGCATGGACGGGTTGGACTGACGGGTCTGTTTCTGTGCTGTACATCTCTATGACTCTATAACTGTATGCTGCCAGAACTGCCGAGCTTTTCCAGAAATTTCTGTTTCTGTTTCTGGTTTCCAGCATCCACAGTTCTTTGATTTTTCTACGTCACTGAATGCTTCCATAATTGGAAGGACCAATATCTGTCACCTATCAGGCTTCTAATTTCTAGGGGGAAAGGTTCCCAAGTGTTTCCAAATAGTTATAACATCGTGATTCTAGTATTGTGCAAATCCATTTTTTGCAAATACTCCAGTGCTTCTGTGTCCTTTTAATAAATGGAGACCAGAACACAATACCAGTGGGAGGTGCTGGGAGGAGAACGAGAGGATATCTGTTTGCAAGTGTAACAAAAGTGATAATGGTTATTTCTGGGAAGAGTACGGCTGAGCATATTACGATATCTGCTCACCCATAGATAAGTTAATATTAAAACAAAACTATAAAAATGTTAATCTCAAAAATGGGTAGAGAGAGATTCCAATCTCCATCGTCATGAGGAGAACAGTGTAGCTGGATTGTAGCGATTCTGAATCTCCAGTTTGATTTAACACTTGCATTTATCTATAAAAACTGAGCAGATTTGATGTTGCATTCTATTGGTTCTGATCCGAATGGATGACAGTCATGTTTCTGTGCTGTTGTCGCCTTGTTTCCCAGAAGGACCCAAAGTTCAAGCACCTTCTAAAGTTAACCATTGCTTAGACGCTGCTCAAATGTGCAATGTCGACGACACTTGCAAGCTGTTCCGCACCGAATATGCCAAGTACTGCCTCAAGCCTGCCTCCAGATACGGCTGCAACAGACTTAAGTGTCGCAAGAGCCTTCGCCGCTTTTTTGACTTTGTGCCAGAGGAATACAAATACCCATTCCTTTTCTGCCCATGCAAAGACAGTGCATGTGCTGAACGTAGGCGCCAAACCATTGTCCCGACCTGCTCCTTCGAGGAACCCGAAAAACAAAACTGTCTCAGTCTACAGGACGCGTGCAAGACGGATCTCATTTGCAAGTAAGCATGCTGTCTCATGGAATTAAGTTGGCAACTCCGGGGAATTTGGAAGGAAAAAAATACGAGAGGAATTACGGATGATGGAAGACGATCGCACGGTATAATCTGTGCAGTGGTTAGCTTCAAAGCCCTTCCTACTGAGTAGAAACTCAATGAGCCAACTTGCTTTTCATTTGCTTTTGTTGAAATTCCGTTCACTGCCACTGTAGAGCATTCCCCAATGGCCTTGTCATTCACTCCCAACGTACTGAATTTCAGGGATCGAACCTTTTCCCAAACACGTCAATTATGTAGAAATTCAATGGGTCACACCATTCCCTTGCATGCTACAGAATTCCCAACGCCTATTGGTTTTTCTACCAGTTGCTGGATGAATAAGTATATAAGCAGTTCCACAGCAGATTCTTGTGTCACCGTGGTAGTGACCCTACCTCTGAGCTAGGAGGCCCCGGTCAGGTCCCAGAGATGTGTAATAGCATCTCTCTGAGCAAGCTGATTAGAAAATATCTATAAGGACCTCTGTGCATATAGCCATCACCAGGCTCCCTATATTTTCTTATTAATACCCTTTCAGTACTCTGTTCAGATGGCTTCAGGTTCTACCATCCAACCATAAACAAAGACCTGTATGCTGACCTGTGGAGAAATTTGGACAGTCCTCTGTGGTTATTGAAGAAGCCTCCTGTATATGAATCACTGATGGATTGTTTTCACTGTAAATATAAGCTCCTGTTAATGCAAATCCTCCATAATCCAACCATTGGTCCACCAAGAATAATATCTTGCTTTTTGTTTTGGCAGATCCCGACTGGTGGACTTTCAGACTAACTGCCAACCATCCCCAAGATCTGCCAGCAGTTGTTTCCGAGAAAATTATAATGCCTGCCTTCAGTCTTACACGGGCCTCATTGGTAAAATACTCTGGTCTTTACAGACTCACTGAAGCCTAACAGTGAGAAGGAGGCCGTTCAGCTCAGTGTATTCACATCGGTTCTTCAAATGAACGTCACTACCTGGTGCCAATCTCCTACATTCTCCCCACAACCTCACTCAATTTTTAGATCCAAATGATCAACACTATACCAGTGGTGGGGGTGCTGGGAGGACATCTGTTTGCAAGTGTAACGAAAGTGATATTTATGGGAAGGGTATGGCTGAGCGTATCATGATGTGTGCTCACACGTAGATGATTTACTGTTAAAACAAAACGATAAAAATGTTAATCTCAAAAATGGGTAGAGAGAGATTCCAATCTCCATCGCCGCATGGAGGACAATGTGACCTCTCAAATGCCTCATTTGAACCTGCCTCCACCATATGTTCTAGCCCCTAATTACTCGCTTTGTGAAAAAAGATTTTCCTCAGCTTTACACTTGCTACTTTTACAGGTCACTTTAAATTTATGCCGTTTTGCTCTTGTTCCTTTCACGAGCAGGAATAATTTCTCCTGATCTGCTTTATCCAGCCTGCTCGCAATTTGCCAAATCTCTATCAAATCTCCTCTCAGCCTCCGAGGAGAACAATCCCAACTTCTCCAATCTGTCCTCATCCCGCTGAAATAATAAACAAAAGAATACTGTGGATGCTGTAAATCAGAAATGAAAACAGAAGTTGCTGGAAAAGCTCAGCAGGTCTGGCAGCATCTGCGAAGAGAAAATCAGAGTTAACGTTTTGGGTCCGGTGACACTTCCTGCTTCCTGAAGTTCCTTGTCCATGGAAGCATTCTTGTCGGCCCTTTCTGAACTTGGCTGGATGGAGTGTGTCCTGACTCTTGAGAAGCAAGCAATGGTCCACCCACCGATGTGTGGAAGTTTCGATCTGATTTCAGGCTGGATCTCTCAGTCCTGTGGCGATGGTTTGGAGGCGAGAAGGATCATAAGGTTACAGAGGATGGCATCAGAAAGGGAACCTGCTGCCTTCATACTACAGCGAGTGGTTACCAGCAGCTGGCACATCAGTGTATCGCTGCCAATGGAGCCTCTTGAGAGGCAGTGGCTGATGTTCAATACCATTGGCTGCCAATGGAGACTGCTGAGGCTCTGATTGAGTCAGAACCCGGGCAAGGGAGCCCATCTTCAACTGTACGTGGCTGGCAAAAGGCCGGTGCCTTAGGGCCCCCTCCTGACGGAGTGAGGACAACCCACCCGAATTTCATCTCCCTCACACCGGTCTGAGAAACTCAGCCTGACTCAACTCCTAAAGCCCAATGTTTGTAGGAAATTCTTGAATGGGCAAAAACGACAAGTCTGCCTGAGAATGTGGTGGAAGCAGGTTCATTCGATGCATTCAAAGGGGAATTCGACTGTTATGTGCAGCGCAGAAACATACAGGGTTGTGGAGAGAAAGCAGGAAGCTGGCATCACAAGACTTGCTCTCTTGGAGAGCTAGTGCCGACATGGACTGAGTGGTCTCCATTGTCATAATTCTGCATTGTAAAGCCACATGCTTATGATTTTGCTGGAAATAATCTGAGACCTTGGCAACATAAGAATTACTGCATCATCATCCTATTTTGGACACATGATACAACCCTTAATGGAACTGTAACAAAATGGCCCAGAATTTCCGACGGCTAGATGTAGCATACATTGGGATTGGGCCATCAGGACCAGATTGAAACTCAGACTGCACTGACCCTGGGGGAGTTAGTTGGGAAATTGAATTTTCTGATTGGCAGTTCCCCTGTGTCTGACATATTATTTCTTTATCTTCCTAATTTATACAATGTTGAAGTTTTACTTTATTTCTCTATTTTAATACCTAAGATTTGTACCTAGGCACTAGGTTTCACCTTCAGTTGGGGTTTTCACAGACTGATTCATCACCCTTCACTAATAGCATTATGCCTATTGTCTGCTTGAGGGGGTATCCTTCTACATGGGGGCAATCCATACCCTCTGGGAGGAGTCCATTCAAACGCATAGACTCATGATGCTGAGACAATCCCCTACCTTCTCCATCAGTGGGCCTATCCTGTCAGGCTCTGGCAAGCACTCCCCATTAACCTTACTCCCACCCCTCCATGACTGATCCTCCCCTCCCACTGAGGGCTGAAATTCCCACAGTGGCTCCCAGCGGCACTATTGGTATGGGGTTGGGGGATTGGGGGGTGGGGGTTGGGGGGGATCTACCAGTTCCTGATGGGCCTACAGCTCCCGAAGGTGGGGAATTCCTCCAAAGGATAGCAATGACCCTCATTCTGAGCAGGGTGGCATTGGATGTTGCCTGGGATGAGATGTCTCAATTACGAGGAGAGACTGGATAGGCTGGGTCTGTTTTCCTTAGAGCACAGGAAGCTGAGGGGGATCTGACTGAGGAATACAAAGTTATGAGAAGCACAGACAGAGTAGATCGTGAGAATCTTTACCCCATCGCAGACGTGTCTAAGACCAGAGGATGTAAGTTTAAGGTGAAGAGTATGCGGTTTAAAGGAGCCCTGAGGAAAAATCTTTCACCCATAGGGTGGCAGAAACATGGAACGTGCTTCCTGAGTGGGTGGTGGAGGCAGGTACTATCACAAAATTTAAGAAGCATCTGAATGGGCACTTAAAATGCCACAATATCGTAGGCTATGAATAAAGTATAAGTAAATGGAGTTAGTGCAGTTTGGTGTTTGTTGGTCTGCATAGACATTTTGGGCCGAAAGGCCTGTTTCTATGCTGCATGACTCAATCACTTTAGAGTGGGTCCAAAAGATGCAGTAGGCCACAGTGAGGTGTTCCTGGATCTCCAGCCGGGAGTAGGCCCATCCCTATTTAGAGTCATACAGCACGGAAACAGACCCTTCGGTCCAACTCGTCCATGCTGAACATAATCCCAAACAGAACTAGTCCCAGATAACAAGGTGTAGAGCTGGATGAACACAGCAGGCCAAGCAGCATCATAGGAGCAGGAAGGCTGACGTTTCGGGCCTAGACCCTTCATCAGAATTGGGGGAGGGGAAGGGGGTTCTAAAATAAATAGGGAGAGAGGGGGAGGCGGATAGAAGATGGATAGAGGAGAAGATAGGTGGAGAGGAAACAGACAGGTCGAAGAGGCGGGAATGGAGCCAGTAAAGGTGAATGTAGGTGGGGAGGTCCCCACCTCTTCGACCTGTCTGTTTCCTCTCCACCTATCTTCTCCTCTATCCATCTTCTATTCGCCTCCCCCTCTCTCCCTATTTATTTCAGAACCCCCTTCCCCTCCCCCATTTCTGAAGAAGGGTCTAGGCCCGAAACGTCAGCCTTCCTGCTCCTATGATGCTGCTTGGCCTGCTGTGTTCATCCAGCTCTACACCTTGTTATCTCAGAATCTCCAGCATCTGCAGTTCCTACTATCTCTAAACTAGTCCCACCTGCCTGCTCCTGGCCCCTATCCCTCCAAACCTTTCTTAGTCATGTATTTATGCAAATGTCTTTTAGATGTTATAATTGTGCCCAAATCCACCACTTTCTCAGGAAGTTCATTCCACACACAAACCACCCTCTGTGTAACAAATTTGCCTCTGTGTCTTTTTTAAATCTCTCTCCTCTCACCTTAAAAATGTGTCCCTGGTCTTGAAATTCCCAATCCTAGGGAGAAAACACCCAAAATTAACTTTATCTATACCCCTTTTATAAACCTCTATAAGGTCACCTCTCAACCTCCTACACTCCAGTGAAAAGAGTCCCAGCCTATCCAGCCTTTCTTCATAACTCAAACCTTCCATACCCAGCAACATCCTGGTAAATCTCTTCCGAACCCTCTCCAGCTTAATAATATCCTTCCTCTAACTGGGCAACAAGAACTGGATGCAGTATTCCAGAAGAGGCCTCACTAATTTTCAGTAAAACCTCAACATGTTTTAAACTCCACCTCTGATTCAAATTCAAGCCTCAGGCAGTGATCACAGATCTAGCAATTCTATGTCTTACTTAAGTGAAGATTTGAACTTGACCTCAATGGTTAACCAGTCGAAGTTGTGCATTTGTTACACATTCTATCTTTGGAGTTTGATGTTCAACAGGGACTATTTTACAGAAGTCTGTGCACCTCTTGTATCCTACAGGCACTGCCCTAACACCAAACTATGTGAGTAACACCAGCTCCAACATCTCTATATGGTGCACGTGTGTCAACAGTGGAAATCAACGTGAGGAGTGTGAGGTGTTACTCAACCTTTTCACAAGCAACAACTGTCTCAGTAAGTCCATTAATGCGGTAAAGGTGATTTACTCTGAAGCCTTTGCTCAGAATTGAATAAGGGCAGCCCCCAGCCATTTTCACTCCAATTGTTTTATCCTCCAGTTCCTGTGGGGATGATTTTGGAATCCACCCCTCTCCCGGAGAAAGTGAGGTTCGGAGCACATGACCTAACACCCCAAGGCTAGAAGGATTGAGTTCCGACCTGCTGCTTAGGTTAATTGCTCCGTAATCAACAGTTTAGTCTGTCATGCATCTTGGCCACTGAGTTCGAAACCCAGGGTTTGTCACTCCAGGGCCTGCTGGTCGTGGGAAATGTGTTCATAGCATGGCCAAAGAGATTGTTGTCAGTTGTGGATCCTTCCAGTTTCCTGAGAACGGATGGTTAGATCGGGAAGTCTTCCTGGTCAACTTCTTCCAGAAGGTAATGATAAACTCCCGAGCATAATTACGTACCAATATAAATCCAATGGAAGTGTTATGTCCCCAACACCTTCTCCAGGCTTGGTACCCAGAGGAAGAGAACATCTAATGGAGTGCGAGACAACAAGGTGCAGGGCTGGATGAACACAGCAGGCCAAGCAGCATCATAGGAGCAGAGAGGCTGACGTTTCGGGCCTAGACCCTTCATCAGAAAAGGGGGAGGGGAAGGGGGTTTTGAAATAAATAGGGAGAGAGTGGGAGGCGGATAGAAGAGGGATAGAGGAGAGGATAGGTGGAGAGGAAACAAACAGGTCGAAGAGGCGGGGATGGAGCCAGTAAAGGTGAGTGTAGGTAGGGAGTTAGGAAGGGGATAGGTCAGTCCAGGGAGGACGGACAGGTCAAGGGGGCGGGATGAGGTTGGTCGGTAGGAGATGGAGGTGCGGCTTGAGGTGGGAGGAGGGGATAGGTGGGAGGAAGAACAGGTTAGGGAGGCAGGGACGAGTTGGACTGGTTTTGGGATGCGGTGGGGGGAGGGGAGATTTTGAAACTTGTGAAATCCACATTGATACCATTGGGCTGCAGGGTTCCCAAGCGGAATATGAGTTGCTGTTCCTGCAACCTTCGGGTGGCATCGTTGTGGCACTGCAGGAGGCCCAGGATGGACATGTCGTCTGAGGAATGGGAGGGGGAGTTGAAATGGTTCGCGACTGGGAGGTGCAGTTGTTTGTTGCGAACCGAGCGTAGGTGTTCTGCAAAGCGGTCCCCGAGTCTCCGCTTGGTTTCCCCGATGTAGAGGAAGCCACACCGGGTACAGCGGATGCAGTATACCACATTGGCAGATGTGCAGGTGAACATCTGCTTGATGTGGAAAGTCTTCTTGGGGCCTGGGATGGGGGTGAGGGAGGAGGTATGGGGGCAGGTGTAGCACTTCCTGCGGTTGCAGGGAAAAGTGCCGGGTGTGGTGGAGCTGGAGGGGAGTGTGGAGCGGACAAGGGAGTCACGGAGAGAGTTGTCCCTCCGGAAAGCAGATAAGGGTGGGGAGGGAAAGATGTCTTTGGTGGTGGGGTCGGATTGCAGATGGCGGAAGTGTCGGAGGATGATGCGTTGGTTCCGGAGGTTGGTGGGATGGTACGTGAGGACGAGGGGGATTCTTTTTTGGTTTTTATTGCGTGGACGGGGTGTGAGGGATGAGGTGCGGGAGATGTGGGAGACACGGTTGAGGGCGTTCTCGACCACCGAGGAGGGGAAGTTACGGTCCTTGAAAAACGAGGACAACTGAGATGTACGGGAGTGGAATGCCTCATCCTGGGAGCAGATGCGGCGGAGGCGAAGGAATTGGGAATAGGGGATAGCATTTTTGCAGGAAGGTGGGTGGGAGGAGGAGTATTCTAGGTAGCTGTGGGAGTCGGTGGGCTTGAAATGAATATCGGTTTCGAGGTGGTTGCCCGATATGGAGACAGAGAGGTCCAGGAAGGGGAGAGAGGTGTTAGAGATGGTCCAGGTAAAGTTAAGGTTGGGGTGGAAGGTGTTAGTGAAGTGTATGAACTGTTCGAGCTCCTCGTGGGAGCACGAGGCGGCACCGATACAGTCATCAATGTAACGGAGGAAGAGGTGGGGTTTAGGGCCGGTGTAGGTACAGAAGAGGGATTGTTCCACGTAACCTACAAAGAGGCAGGCGTAGCTTGGGCCCATGCGGGTACCCATGGCTACCCCCTTTGTCTGTAGGAAGTGGGAGGAATTGAAAGAGAAGTTGTTGAAGGTGAGGACGAGTTCGGCTAAGCGGATGAGGGTGTCAGTGGAGGGGGACTGGTCGGGCCTGCGGGACAGGAAGAAGCGGAGGGCCTTAAGGCCATCTGCATGGGGAATGCAGGTGTAGAGGGACTGGACATCCATGGTAAAGATGAGGTGTTGGGGACCGGGGAATTGGAAGTTCTGGAGGAGGTGGAGGGCGTGGGTGGTGTCACGGACATAGGTAGGGAGTTCCTGGACCAAGGGGGAGAAAATGGAGTCGAGATAGTTGGAGATCAGTTCGGTGGGGCAGGAGCAGGCGGAGACAATGGGTCGACCAGGGCATTCAGGTTTGTGGATTTTGGGAAGGAGATAGAAGCAGGCAGTGCGAGGTTGGGGAACGATGAGGTTGGAGGCCGTGGGTGGGAGGTCACCTGAGGTGATGAGGTTGTGGATGGTTTGCGAGATGATGGTTTGGTGCTCAGGGGTGGGGTCATGATCAAGGGGGCGGTAGGAGGAGGTGTCGGAGAGTTGGCGTCCGGCCTCGGCGATGTAGAGGTCAGTGCGCCATACTACAACTGCACCTCCCTTGTCTGCGGGTTTTATGGTGAGGTTGGGATTGGAGCGGAGGGAGCGGAGGGCTGCATGTTCTGCGGGGGAGAGGTTGGAGTGGGTGAGAGGGGTGGAGAGGTTGAGGTGATTGATGTCTCGACGGCAGTTGGAGATGAAGAGGTCGAGGGAGGGTAGGAGGCCTTGGGGTGGTGTCCAGGAGGAGGGGGTGTGTTGGAAGCGGGAGAAGGGGTCAGTAGAGGGAGGGTTAGGTTCACGGTTAAAGAAGTAAGCGTGGAGGCGGAGTGCGTCTATTCGAGGCCAGTAACACAGTGGACATTATTCCAGCTATTTTACTTCAGCCTTTAGTCATAAGAAAAGCTTTCACTGTTAACGTCTGGTCACCATCCTGACTTGGAAATGTATTGCCTTCAGTGTCGCTGGGTCAAAGTCCTGGAACTCCTTCCCTAACGACATGGTGCATCTACCCACAGCAGCTCAACAAAGCAGCTCACTATCACCTTCCCCCTGGGGCAAATAGAGACAGGCAATAATAGCTGGCCCAGTCAGTGACACTCACAATCCACAAGCAAATAAAATAATGTCACCTTGCTGAGACTTTTTTCATGCCTTTGTTAAGGTTAAGAGAAACAGATGGTGGCCTGTTAATTGTCTTAGAGCACATATAGATTGGGAGACAGGGTGGAGAATGAGAGGGATATGAGAATGAGAGCAAGAGAGTAAGTTATCTCCCCCAAAGGAGAGTCTTGGTTTCTATCGCATCAGCCAGCTTGATTTCTATTAACAATGGCCTCACTGCTTCCTATCCCTAATCTCTTTCAGACCTGCAGTCCTTCTGTTTCCTGTGTATCTCTTAATTTTCATTTCTTCGCCATTGGCAGCTGAACTCGCAGATGCCTGGATTCAAAGCTTTGGAATTTCCTTCCTAAACTCTCCATATCTCCGTGTCCCTCTGTCTTGTGGCTTGGGGTGTAGTGATTCATGTAATGAGGACCTACATTCCAAACCATGGGATCCAATTAGCTTTAATAATAGAAAGCATAGAATCCCTACAGTGTGGAAGCAGCCCATTCAGCCCATTCAATCTATACCAGCCCTTCAAAGATCATCCCACCTAGTCCCACTCCCCTACCCTATCCCTGCCACCTGCATTTCCCATGGTTAACCCACCTGGACTGCACATCCCTGAACACTATGGGGCAATTTAGCATGGCCAATCCACCCTAACCTGCACATCTTTGAACTGTGGGAGGAAACTGGAGCACCTGGAGGAAACTCACGCAGACAGAGGGAGAATGTGCAAACTCCAGACACACAGTCATCCAAGAGTGTAATCAAACCCAGGTCCCGGGGGCTGTGAGGCAGCAGTGCTAACCACTGAGCCACCGTGCCACCCCATTGTGAAATCTTAATCAAAGAATCCAATAGCAAAGTAATAGAATATCAGTTTCTTACAGGGATGGTTGAGTGATGTTGAACAAATGTGTTGTGTACCCAATGAGAAACACATATCTGGACCTTAGTCTGAACAGCCCGATGTTCTGATCTACTCTTACAGGGCAACCTCTTCCCAGTTTCAGGCCATATCTCATTGAGCTGATGGTTTTGTGTTTGTGGTCTGTATGTCCTCAGAGCTGAGGAAGGGAGGGACAAGAGAAACAACTGGGAGTACTTTATGCTTAAATCCATGAACAACATCATTTAGTTTAGTGAACAATTTGTCTGAAGTAGTAAAGGATATGCAGGGTGATGACTACGTTGTAGAATTACTGGCTTGTTAGCCAAAGGCCAGAGCTAAAGTTCTGGGGTCACAGGTTCAAAATCTATGGCAGCTGGGGAGATTAAAACTCAATTAATAAATCAGGAATATTAAAACCTGGTATCAATGATAGTACCATGGAGCTACTGTTAATTGTCATAGAGACCCATTTTGGTCAATAATGTCCTACTCGGAAGGCCATCATGCCACCCTTACCTGGTCTGGCCTACATGTGACTCCAGACCCACAGCAATGTGGTTGATTCTTAACTGCTCTCTGAAATGGCTGAGCAAGCTATTCAGTTCAAGGGTAATTGGGATGGGCAGCAACCTTTGGCTTTGCTTGTGATACAATGCCATATTTAAGGAAAAGAAGCCTTTCTATAGGGATTAGATTCAGGGACAAGAGTGACACTGTGGAAGCGAGTGCTATTCTTTCACCTCAGGGTCTGAATGGGTCATCACCTGAGATAGGAACAGGAATAGGTCATTCAGCCCCTGGAGGCTGCCATCCAATAAAATCATGGCTGATCTGTGGCCTAACTCCATATATCTGTCTTTGGCCCATATCCCTTGTCATCTTTGCTTAACAAGAATTTATCTGTCTCAGATTTAAAATTGACAATGGATCCAGAATCCGCTGCCATTTGTGGAAGAGAGTATCAAACATCTACCAGCCTTCTGGTGAACAGCTGATTCCTGTGAAGATGTTTATAACTGTATTATTTGCCACAAGCTTTAGTGGCACAGTGGTAATGCCCTTATCTCTAAGCGAAGAGGTCCTGGTGTTAGTGCCACCTGCTCTAGAGGTGTGCCATCACATCTGTAAATAGGTTGATTAGAAATGATCTTGTATGGGGTTATTTGAATAGTGGCCTTTATATTTGGTTTGGGGCCCAGCACCCATGGTCACTGTTATTAATTAAGGTTCCCTAGACTGATGACTTTTATATATCCAAATCTGTTGTCAATCTACAGTAAGGACAGCATTCTCCCTACTAAATGACTGGATTGATTTCCTATTCATATTCTCAACCTTTGACTGAATTTTGCATGGCTTGGTCTGTTACAGGAAATTCTATACTTTCGTACACCAAATCTTTGCTGTTTCATCTGTCAGACAGCAAGGAGCCTGCACTAACATTTACTCAACACTTACCCTTCAACTTCCCAGACAAGGATGGGTCAAGTGTTGATGCCAAATTAAAAGCGAATCAGGTAAAGAATTTTTTTCTGACCATCTATTTTGTAACTAATGCTTTTAATGCAAATGCAGGAGTCACACGACACCACGTTATAGTCCAACAGGTGTGTTTGAAATCGCAAGCTTTCAAAGTGCTGCTCCTTCTTCAAGCAAACCATTGGAAACCTGTGATAGAATTGGGTTTGTTTTCAGCGATAGGAAGGTCGACAGCAAATATCTCCTTTAAGTGTTGAAAGCGGGCACACAATTGTTACAGTGCAGGAGGAGGCAGTTTGGTGTCTCTCCAACTCTTTGAAAGAGCATTATAACTTAGTGCCATTTCGTCTTCCTTTGTCCCATAACCCTGAACATTGTTTCCATGTAAATAAACATCTAATATTCTCTTGAGTATCTGGATTGAACCTGCCTACACCATGTTTTCAAGCATTGTGTTCTGTGTGAATGATATATCCTTTACAACTCTTCATCACAGTTGTTTAAGTGAGCCACGTGGGTCTTTCTATCCTGATGACCTAGTGGTATTATTGCTGGACTGTTAATCCAGAGATCCAGATAGCATTCTGGGGTCTGGGTTCGAATCCCGTCCAAGGCAGGTGGTGGAATTTGCATTCAATAAATATCTGGAATTAAGAATCTAATGATGGTCATGAATCCATTGTTGGAAAAACCCATCTGGTTCACTAATGACGTATAGGGAAGGAAACTGCCATCCTTACCCAGTCTGGGCTACATGTGACTCCAGACCCACAGCAATGTAGTTGACTCTGAACTGCCCTCTGGGCAATTAGGGATGGGCAATAAATGCTGCCCTGGCCAGCGATGCCCTCACCCCGTGAATGATAAAGTAAAGGACTTCCTTGTATTGCTGCAGCTACATGGTACCCACTTGCTTTCCAGTCCATAGTGTTTGGAGATCGATGTATCCCTGCATTAAGTGGTGGAACGTTGGAGAAAGACAGATCCATACTCTTAGACATTGCCTCCTGCTGGTCACTGAGCAGCATTGTGAGGAAGTAATGCCATCTCAGATTGGATAGAGTCCACATTGAAGAATAGTCACTTCATTGGTTCTTATTTCCTTCTTGCCTTGTCCCTTATCCAGGCAAGCAGGAAGATCTGGGAAGGGAAAATCTCAAACCTTGAGCTAGAGAAACATAGAAAATAGCTGCAGGAGTAGGCCATTCGGCCCTTCGAGCCTAAACCACAATTCAATGTGATCATGGCTGATCATACAATCACAGAATCCCATTCCAGTTTCTCCCCATATCTCTTGATCCCTTTAGCCACAAGGGCCATATCCCTCTTGAATATATTTAATGAACTGCCCCCAACAGCTTCCTGTGGGAGAGAATTCCACAGATTCACAACTCTCTGAGTGAAGAAATTCTTCCTCATCTCAGTCCTGAAAGCTTACCCCTTAGTCTTAGACGGTGACCCCTTGTTCTGGAGTTCACCAATGGCTCGATTATTCTTCCTGTTTCTAGCCTGTCCAGTACCATCAGGATTTTATATGAATCTATGAGATCCCCCTCATTCTTCTAAATTCCAGCGAGTACAAGCCCAGTCCATCCAGTCTTTTTTCATATGTCAGTCCTGCCATCCCAATCCCTCACATAATGTGCCTCAGAGATCAAGATAGGCTTCCCTATCTATTGCATCTCCCTATCTGATGGACTGCCTTATCAGGATGCGCTATTTAATCTAGCACTTATGAACATGACTCAAGGAGACTCCCAACTTAGAATCATGCTCTGAATCCAATACAAAGGCTACAATTTGGACTTCTTTCATTGTCTAATTCCATTGCAGGACTGCGATCCTGGGAGCAAGCTAAAGGTTTCTCAGAAAGTGTTGCTGCCTGGAAAAACTACTGATTGCAAGGTGAATTCAGGAACTGCTACCCAGAGCTTCTCTGTCACAGTACCCTGCACCATCACGTCACTCTATATCTTCATGACCATTACAGAGAACTCCATTTGAAAGGACGTAACGAAGACTTTGTAAAGAGACAGAAAGAAAAAGAGGTGGACACTTTCTTCTTTGCAAGCTCTCTCACAATCGCTTCGAAAAGAAAACAAATGCTTAAGATACAACTTGAACTGAGAAAATAGTTTGTCGAAATATCCAGCAGACTAGTCTTCTTGCATCATTTGGAAATAGAGTTAATTTATTTCACTGCAGCGTATCAGTTATCAGTGTATTCAGGTTCACTGAAGTACATAACAAGCCAAAATCTCTTCACATTAATTTCCATCACAGCCAACAAGAATATGTAAGCAATTTAATGAAGTGGGTGGATCTCCTGACAAACATTTCCCTTTTCCATTTATTTCCCTCCTTTAGTGCAGGTTTGGAAAGAATATGTTAGCACAGCCAGTGGTTACACTCAGATCACTCAACACTCTCCCTTCTCTGGAAAGTGGGGCTCTTTGTCTTTCAGTTGGACCATGTCTACATGTGAGTACAGGTATTGTGTTTCAGTGATCGATTTTCCCATTAGTTAGAGTGGCTCAGGGGTTAGCACTGCTGCCTCACAGCACCAGGGACCTGGGTTTGATTCCATCCTTGGGTGACTGTCTGTGTGGAGTTTGCACATTCTCTGAATGTCTGCATGGGTTTCCTCTGGGTGCTCTAGTTTCCTCCCACAGTCGAAAGATGTGCAGGTTAGGGTGGATTGGTCATGCTAAGTTGCCTGTAGTGTCCAGGGATGTGCAGGCTAGGTGGGTTAGCCATGGGAAATGCAGGGATAGGGTAGGGGGCTGGTCTTTGGAGGAGTAAGTGTGGGCTGAATGGCTTGCTTCCACACTGTAGGGACTTTATAATTCTAGAATGGAATTAAAAAATAATCAGTTATCCTTTAAATGAAAGGCTGGGAAGGTCTACAGTACTCTGCCTAGTCTGAAATATCTCATTTTGGGATGTCGCGTTTTCAATTTGAGGTGTCCCACCCTCTGAAACTGAGAGATATGACTGTGATTATTGATCTGCTGTTTCTCATTGGCGTCATTGGTACCAGTTACACGATGAACAATATTCACTGACTGAATGAGACGTGGAGATGATCTGATCCTTGTGTTACAGTAAGTAGTTTGGGCCATTCAAAACTTGTAGCTCATTAGGCAGCGGTTGAACTCAACAAATACCATTCACTGAAAAATAACATTCTTCGGTACTTGTTGTCAAATCCAGACCAGTTCTCACTGCAGTACCTACGTAATGTTGTTGAAGCAACGATCTGTAACTACTCATCAAGGTGATATTGTAAGGTCAGCTTGTTCCAATGTTACACAGATGTCACTGACACTGCACCTCTACTTATTCAAGATCACAAGTCACACGACACCAGGTTATAGTCCAACAGGTTTATTTGAAATCACAAGCTTTCGGAGCATTTCTCCATCAGGTGAACTGAGCAGCGTTCCGAAAGCCTGTGATTTTAAATAAACCTGTTGGACTATAACCTGGTGTCGTGTGACTTCTGACTTTTCCCACCCCAGTCCAACACCGGCACCTCCACATTATGGCTACTTATTCGTTAAAACATTAAACTTGTTTGTATCTGAGTCTGATGCTGCATTTGTTATGATGTAGGAAATGGTGGCATTCCCTGTGCTGTATAAATTTAATGTTTAAGAAATAACCTGGCAAAACTACTTGTCTTATTCAAAAGACCATAAATGTCTCTTGTACTGCATCAAATGACAGCTGCTGTGATCTTGAAATGGCATTAGGAAACCACAAGGATAAATAGACAGCTGGACTGCATGGCTGTGGTGGGAGAATCAATTTGAAAAGAAACATAACTGTCATTTATAATATATATTTTATCAGTGATAATAGATTAGATGATTGTAAAGCACCAATCTAATATTTGGAATCAATTGTCATTCATAAACTCATTGAAATTGACTATTTGTGTTTACAGCATTGAATTTCTTAGAACAACTGATTCACTGATGGTGTTTCTCTGCAAATCTCCTCTAGCTAAACCATCAATGTTGCTTTACTGTGTATCCCAGATGAGTATTTACACCGCAAATTGAGCCATGTAGTGCTGTAACTGTGATTCACCTTCAGCTGATCACATTCTATATATAAATCTTGCAAAACTCTCAGTTGAACTCTGGTTTCTAATTCATTCTTGGATATCCTTGTTCTATGTCCATCAATGCCTCTCCATTGTATACCGACCTTTCAAGTCACATTTAGCTGCCCAGTATTTTGTGCACGCCATCTGAACCCCTCAATTAGATTCACTTCCAAATGTCCATTATTTTATATATAAACATCTGATTCCTTTGATTAGATATTATTCTGCAACTCAATCCTGTATCTGCTATTTACGTATAGTCAATCTGACCTCCTCAAATAGCTTTTAGCATAATCTCCCTGTACACGTTCTCCCTGTGTCTGTGTGGGTTTTCTCCGGGTGCTCCAGTTTCCTCCCATAGTCCAAAGGTGTGCAGGTTAGGGTGGGTCGGCTGTGCTAAATTGCTCATAGTGCCCAGGGATGTGCAGGCTAGCCATGGGAAATACAGGGTTACAGGGATAGGGTAGGTGGCTGTGGGTGTCGTGCTCTTGAGGCTCGGGTGTGGACTCGATGGGTTGAATGGCCTGCTTCCACACTATAGGGATTCTATGTTACTATGATTCTCTCAGAATAACAGCATCCCACCTATAAGCTGTCTAAACCCTACAATTCCAACTGTATTCATGATATAAATTCTCCAAACCCTTCAATAAGCTTATACTTAACTCTGTGTATCCATAATTCTCTTCACATTTGTACAGCAGGTGAAGTGTTATGTTCTGAGGATCCTAGGAGGTCAAGGAAAGATGAAATTGTGCTTTACCTTGGAATCCTGAATCTGCTCTCAATCCTAAATTTGCCATACAAAGGCTCAATTAAATGCAAAGGGAAGGCTGCAAGTGCCATGAAGCAATGAGATTCTTACAGTGCATTTACGTTAGTGCCATAGCATTGGAACAAAACGGATCTGCATCACACCAGTGTTGCTGTGTTGGGGAAACTGTAGGCTTTATTCAGAGTCAGGACTGGACCTGACACTGAAGTATAAAAGGGGCACTCCATGCAGAATGGACATCCACTCTCCTTTGAAGGCATTTTGGATCTCTTCGCTGACTTATGTTACCTTATGAGGATGCAATGACAACCTTCCTCATATCTGGACTAAACTCGCACTGTTGCCTAATTTGGCTGGACAAAGTGAATGTTGGGAAGGTGCTTCCATTGGTAGGAGAGCCTAGAACCCGAGGGCACAGCCTTAGAGTAAAGGGAAGACCTTTTAGAACGGAGATAAGGAGAAACTTCTTCAGCCAGAGAGTGGTGAATCTATGGAATTCACTGCCACAGAAGGCTGTGGAGGCCGGGTCATTAAGTACATTTAAGACTGAGATAGATAGGCTCTTGATTATCAAGGGGATCAGGGGTTCCGGGGAGAAAATGGGAGAATGGGGTTGAGGAACTTATCAGCCATGATTGAATGGTGGAGCAGACTCGATGGGCCGAATGGCCTAATTTCTGCTCCTATGTCTTATGGTCTTATGTTAAAATCTTCTTGTAACCAATTAATATCTCCTCTAGCCAAAGACAATTTAATAAACGCTGTTTGGTGGATGGAAGAATTTGATTCTGTTTAAGATAGGCCTGAATAAGCATGACCTGATGGGTCTGGGTTAGCACTCGGCCTGATTAACTTGTGACAATGCCGAACTGCAGTCAGTGTACTTTGGTCCCAGGTGCAGATTGAATACCCTGAGGTCAGATAATCCCAAGGCAACGTGTAGGCTTGAAGGTGGCATATTCGTGATGTCACTGGACCAGTGATAAAAAGGCCCAGGCTAATACTCTGAGGTCATAGATTCACATGCCTCCTTGGCAGCTGGGCAAATTTGGACCTCAATTGTTAAAAAAAATCTGGAATTGAAAGCAGAACTCTGCAATAGTGACCATTAATTGTTGTTAAAAACCAATCTGGATCACTGATTATGTCCAAGAACTTTGCTGCAGGAGATCCTCAGGGGAGTGCCCTCAGCCCAACTTTAGCTTCTTAACTTTTATACCACACAAGCGCCAGGCTACACCCATCTGCAACTAGACAGCATCTAGCCATTGTCCGCTGCCCATTCCATGGTGTTACCAACACTGAATCCACCACTGCCAATTACCTGAAAGTTACCATTGACCAGAAACTGAACTGGACCAGCCATACAAATCCTGTGCCAATTAGAGTAGATCGGAGTTTAGGAAATCTGTGGTGAGTGACTTACCTATTATCTTTCCAGTGTATGTCCAGAAGTCAGCAGAATAATGGAATACTTCCCAGTTGATAGATGGTGGCAGCTCTAACCATGCTTAAGAAGCACAACGTCATCCAGGACAACACAGGCCACTGACATGGCACCATACGCACCACCTTTAATATTTCCTCCATCCAGCATCGATACACAATGGCAGCTGTATGTACCATCCACAAGTCGCACTGTAAAACTCCTTCAACAGCATCTTCTAAACTTCACCCTCTACTACCGAGAAGGACAAGGGCAGCAGATACATGGGAACCCCATGGCCTGCTAGGTTCCCCCTCCAAGTCACACACCATCCTGACTTGGAAATATATTGCCGTTCCTACACTGTTGCTGGATCAAAATCCTGGAATCACCTCCCTAATGGCATTATGCATCTGATCAAGAAAGCATCTCACTACCATCTTCCTAAGAGCAAATAGAGATGGCAATAAATGCGGACCTATCCAGTGACGTCCCACATTCCATGAATTTCTTTTTAAATAACATAGTAGCTAATGGAAATGGAAATTCGGAGGTGTTACTTGTCCCTTTTAAATTACAGCACTCTTTTCACCGTTAAGATTGTTAACAGTGGGAGTAATTTAAGGGGAGGTGATGGCCTAGTGGTATTCTCGCTGGACTGTTTTAATCCAGAGCCCCAGATAACGTTCTGGGGACCTGTGTTCAAACCCCAACATGACAGATGGTGGAATTTGAATTCAATAAATACCTAGAATTAAAGGTTTAATGTTGACCATGAATCTGTTGTTGATTGTCAGGGAAAAACCCATCTGGGTTCACTAATGTCCTTTAGGGAAGGAAACTGCCATCCTTACCTGGTCTGGCCTACATGTGACTCCAGACCCACAGCAATGTGTTTGACTCTTAACTACCCTCTGGGCAATTAGGGATGGGTAATAAATGCTGCCTAGCCAGCGACACCCTCATCCTGTGAAGAAATAAAGAAAAAAAAACCAGGAAGTGATACTTTGATTATGAGAACTTTCAAGATATCTGGGTACTTAAGGGTCAAAGGAATACATTTGAAGTGCAGTCAATGTTGCTTTGCAGAAAACACAGCTGCCAATTTGCACACAGTACGGTCCCACAGAAACAATGAAATAATGATCGCTGCCCTGATCTTTGAAACACTGTGCTTGAGATCGTGCTTTGAAGTCTCTAAATGGAACTGAATCCTATCACCTTCTGACTCTGAGATGAAAAGGCCACCAGCTGACTTTCTGCTGTCTTTAATCACCCAGTATTGAGAATTTCTACAGTGTGGAAGCAGGTCATT